ATTTTCTCGATTTTCACACTTTGTATCAGGATAACATGATAACCGAAGAGGTATTCCGATTCCTGGCGAGAAATTTAAATTTTCTCGATTTTCGCACTTTGTATCAGGATAATATGATAACCGAAGAGGTATTCCGATTCCTGGCGGGAATTTAAAATTTTCTCGATTTTCGTACTTTGTACCAGGGGAACATGATAACCGAAGAGGTATTCCGATTCCTGGCGAGAAATTTAAATTTTCTCGATTTTTCGCACTTTGTATCAGGATAACATGATAACCGAAGAGGTATTCCGATTCCTGGCGGGAATTTAAAATTTTCTCGATTTTCGTACTTTGTACCAGGGGAACATGATAACCGAAGAGGTATTCCGATTCCTGGCGAGAAATTTAAATTTTCTCGATTTTCGCACTTTGTATCAGGATAACATGATAACCGAAGAGGTATTCCGATTCCTGGCGGGAATTTAAAATTTTCTCGATTTTCGTACTTTGTACCAGGGGAACATGATAACCGAAGAGGTATTCCGATTCCTGGCGAGAAATTTAAATTTTCTCGATTTTCGCACTTTGTATCAGGATAACATGATAACCGAAGAAGAGGTATTCCGATTCCTGGCGGGAATTTAAAATTTTCTCGATTTTCGTACTTTGTACCAGGGGAACATGATAACCGAAGAGGTATTCCGATTCCTGGCGAGAAATTTAAATTTTCTCGATTTTCGCACTTTGTATCAGGATAACATGATAACCGAAGAGGTATTCCGATTCCTGGCGGGAATTTAAAATTTTCTCGATTTTCGTACTTTGTACCAGGGGAACATGATAACCGAAGAGGTATTCCGATTTCTGGCGGAAAATTTAAATCTTGTCGATTTTCGCACTTTCTATCAGGAGAACATGATAACCGAGTAGGTATTCCGGAACCCTACGGGAAATTTGGATTTTCTCATTTTCCCGATTTTTGGACTTTATAACAGGAAAAGATGATAACCGAGGAGGTATTCCGGATTCTGACGAGGAATTTGAAAATTTTCAAATTTTTTATAATTTCTCCATTTTCACGTTTTGTATTAGAATATAAATAACTGCAGAGATAACATGAATATGCGGCGGGAAATTAAAAAAAATTGCAATTTTCAATAGGAATTGGATTTTCAAAGGTATGGTTTAAACGAAAGATTGTTTAAATAAGATAATTCTATCATATATTTTGAAAGTGATATTTATTCTTTAAACATAAAATATATAATATAAATATGTACATGAAACACTCCGCTATTTGCAATATTTCTTATATAAAATAATATAACACATACAAGCATAAATTATCCAATGATCGGAAATTAATAAAGTTATAATTATCCGTCATATAACGACAATCTGTCAGCTTAAATTTTGACTCGGGTATTCTCTGGTTCTCAAGAAGTTCGTCAAACGTCCGTAAAAGACAGAAACTTGTATAATAATTGATTTGGCAGTTGATCTGAAGATATATGATGCGTCGTTATCCATGCTCGGCCTTCTAGAACTTTCGCCCTTTGTCGTTGACTTTGGTTTCTCGACGTAGAATTTTGGCTGTTCCCTCGTTGCACTGATAGTAACACTAACGCTGATTCTAATGCTCGCGTAGATGCGCAGATACACGGATGAAATGAAATAATATCCGTAAGAGTCTAATTCATTAATATTTTACAATCAATGTTGCTCTAAACCTTCCGAAGTTTGAACACAAAAAACTTCGTGGCATAGGCCAGGCGCAGAAAAAGCTTAGATATTTTATTGTCGAGAGACAATTGGCCCTCCCCAACAGTGGGCGGAAAATATACAGGATGGCCCACGTAAACTGTTACAAGTCCATAACTTTAAAAATATTTATCAAATCAAAAAATTGTTCATAAGGAAGTTTCATGTATTCGAGAAGCCTCTCTAACTACATAAATGTAAAGTCGCTCCCGTTTCTCCTTTAAGGGGGGACGGGGGTAACTTCATAATTTTAAATGGAACCCCCTATAAAATGTTGCATATTTGGATTCTACGGGAAAAAACAAGTAAATTTTATCTGAAACATTTGTTTAGAAAATGCTTCTATCAAAAGTTATAAGCATTTCAACCTTTAGCAATTTCATTCATGATTGAACTCCATTAACACAAAGTTGCGTTCCCGATAAAAAAAAACAAAAAACCTTAGAATACATACTTCATGTTAACCAAAAGAAACATAAATAAACACATTTATCGGGAAACATAAATACAGATCACAGACCCGTTTCCCGTATTTATTTATGTTTCTTTTGGTTAACATCAAGTATGTACTCTAAGGTCTTTTGTTTTTGTTATATCGCGAACGCAACTTTGTGTCAAAGGAGTTCAATCATGAATGAAATCGCTAAAAGTTTAAATGCTTATAACTTTTGATAGAAGCATTTTCCAAACAAATGTTTCAGATAAAATTTACTTGTTTTCTCCCGTAGAATCCAAATATGCAACATTTTATAGTTCTCAAATTATTTTCAAATTATGAAGTTACCCCCGTCTGTCCTTAAAGGGGAAGCGGGGGCGACTTTACGTTTATGTAGTTAGAGAGGTTTCTCGAATACATGAAACTTCCTTTGAAGAATTTTTTGATTTGATAAATATTTTTAAAGTTGTGGACTTGTAACACTTTACGTGGGCCACCCTGTATATACATATATATAAATACATAAAAAAATATATACGCATGAACATAAAATACATTATATAAATATGTACATGAACACTCCGCTATTTGCAATATTTCTTGTATAAAATAATATAACATATACAAGTATAAATTATTCAATGATCGGAAATAAATAAAGTTATAATTATCCGTCATATAATGACAATCTGTCAGCTTAAATTTCGACTCGGATATTCCCTGATTCTCGAGAAGTTCGTCAAACGTCCGTAAAAGTTCGTAAAAGACAGAAACTTGTATAATAATTGATTTGGCAATTGATCTGAAGATGTTTGATGCGTCGTTATCCATACCCAGCTTTCTAGAACTTTCGCCCTTTGTCGTTGACCTTGGTTTCTCGACGTAGCATTTTGACTGTTCCCTCGTTGCACTAATAGTAACACTAACACTGACTCTAATGCTCGCGTAGATGCGAAGATGCACGGATGAAATAAAATAATATCCGCAAGAATCTAATTGATTAATATTTTAACAACCCGGAAAGAATAAAATAATCCGTAACACGTATATCTCTTGCCGGCACGAACTATAACGTCGTGAGAGCCAGCGCTCAATGATCCCCACCTTGAAGGTCGCGCGCTTAAATTCGATCGCTGGATGCGTCGATCACTGAGAGGGGATACACAAAGAAATTTAAGCGGTAAGAAAATTAAACGATCCTAGTCAAGCAAACCAACCAATTACCGGCCGTCACTGCTTATGTTCTCAACTGTGATTGGTTGGTCTGCTTACCGCTTCTGTCGTACTTTTTGTACTTTCTTGCGAGAGAGACAGACTATCAGCGCAACTTCTGATTGGATGCTACCTTTCTACTTTCTGCTTTTTTGCTAAGATGTGATTTCACCCTAATGTTCGTCGCGTGCTGCTATAGATGATATCGAGCATGGCAGTTCTCTCCCTTTTGTCAGTACGAAAATTTACTTACGGCTAACAACGTCTTTAACGTCTTTAATATTACTTTTTCAGTAAAGTGGTTCTATATATCGTAAAGGCCCATCTACAATGGCTGCAAGAATAAGCTTGTAAGCGTAAGCAATAAAGGCTCGTCTACAATAGCTGTAAGAGTAAGGCTGTAAGGCTGTAACGTAAGCTGTCAGCGAATGAAAATATTTCATTTCGTGTCTTGCAACCTTACAGCCTTACTCTTACAGCTAATGAGGACGAGCCTTTATAATAATCGATTGTGGTTGGTCTATTTCTTACTGCTTAAGCCAGCGGCACACGGTGCTTGTTTTCGTACTGGATTGCTTGTTGGATGAAAATACTGCATTCTGATTGGTGCATTTCCATCCATCTTCGGAAATGTACCAATCAGAACGCAGTATTTTCATCCAACAAGCAATCCAGTACGAAAACAAGCACCGTGTGCGCTGGCTTAAGCAGTAAGAATAGACCAACCACAATCGATTATTATAAAGGCTCGTCTACATTAGCTGTAAGAGTAAGGCTGTAAGGTTGCAAGACACGAAATGAAATATTTTCATTCGCTGACAGCTTACGTTACAGCCTTACAGCCTTACTCTTACAGCTATTGTAGACGAGCCTTTATTGCTTACGCTTACAAGCTTATTCTTGCAGCCATTGTAGATGGGCCTTTACGATATATAGAACCACTTTACTGAAAAAGTAATATTAAAGACGTTAAAGACGTTGTTAGCCGTAAGTAAATTTTCGTACTGACAAAAGGGAGAGAACTGCCATGCTCGATATCATCTATAGCAGCACGCGACGAACATTAGGGTGAAATCACATCTTAGCAAAAAAGCAGAAAGTAGAAAGGTAGCATCCAATCAGAAGTTGCGCTGATAGTCTGTCTCTCTCGCAAGAAAGTACAAAAAGTACGACAGAAGCGGTAAGCAGACCAACCAATCACAGTTGAGAACATAAGCAGTGACGGCCGGTAATTGGTTGGTTTGCTTGACTAGGATCGTTTAATTTTCTTCATCCAGCAAGCAACCCAGCACGAAAACAAGCACCGTGTGCCGCTGGCTTTACGCTTAAGCTAAGACTCCATGCATGCGGTGAGCTGCGGCAAACGGTTGCGGTGACCAATCAGGAGACAGACGCATGCCGGAGCTTGCCGCAACCGGACTTGCGCCTCCCTCCTGATTGGTCACCGCAACCGTTTGCCGCAGTTCACCGCATGCATGGAGTCTTAGCTTTAGAACCTTATTCTTGCAGCCATTGTAGATGGGCCTTAAATCTGTTGCGCAAGGATACGGTAATGCTTATCACACAGCGGAAATTGGTTAGAGAATATTGCGGTAGCCAATCAACGTCCCGAATGCCGCATGTTTCGTAAATACTATTTCCGGACAAGCAAGATGCTGAATGGTTACCGTAATATTCCCTGGCCGACTTCCGCACGACAAGTGTGCCGCGTTCTGTGTGCACTGGCCTATTTTTAGGTGTCCATAGCTAATATTGAAAGAGAGAGAGAGAGTGAGAGAGAGAGAATGACATAGGGTGAAGAGGAGAGGGAGAAAGATATTCCTATATTTCATTCTGCTCTCTGCTCGTAGCAAGCGAGTGTCTCACAAGTGTTTGTGCTGACACAATAGTGACATTTAAATTAAAATGGATCTTGCGCTAACGGAGGAAGGATTATTGCAAAAGCACAAAAAAGAGCGAAAAGAACTGCAAGGTACTCAGATAAAAAATAAGGCTACTTATCCTCATAACTGACATAGTTTTATTTTTCTTTGTTAAAACTTATTATTTAAATAATTTCTAATTCCATAAGGTCAAAATTCTTACAAAATGCACTATTACCTTTTTCTTCTTTTATCGAAAATATAGCGAAAATACAAATCTTGAAGAAGTCAATCTGTAAAGGCGACAAGAAGAAGAAGAAAGAGGTTACAGAAGAGATAGGTCGTTTAGAGGAAAATTTGGAGAAACATCAGACAGAGGAATGGAATGAATGGAGATTGGCTCATGTTACATTGAATGATGAGGAGGAATCAGGACATGTGAGTGAGGAAATTGATAAAGACAACAGTTGTTTGGAGCAACCTATGCAAAGAGTCTCCAAAGCGCAGAAAAGAAGAGAGAAGAAGGCGATTGCAGAGAAAGAACGTAATCAAAGAATCATTGAGCAGGAAGCACTCAATGTATTTGGTAAAAGAAACCTTGAGATAGAAGCTATAAAGAAGATTCTCTCTGAGCGTGGTTTAATGATCTATGAAATTCCTAGTGATGGTCATTGGTAAGGATTTTTTATTTTTAATATATATATAATATTATTTATATATATATATTATTTTTAATATATATATAATAACTAGAAAAGGAACTAATGAACAAAGATTCTGTATAATTTATTTGATTATTTAGCTATTATTTAGCTATGTATGTAGATTTGTTGCTTATTTATATCACTCTGTTATACTATATATTACTATATACTATTATACTATATATTATATTTGTTTGTAGTTTATATAACGCAGTTGCTCATCAACTTAAGGTAAATGGGGAAACACCCCTTAGCCTACACGATCTCAGAATGAAGACTGCTAATTATTTGAGAGAAAACATGAATGATTTCCTGCCCTTTTTATCTAATCCTGATTCTGACAATTTACTGACATTTGAGGAGTTTGAAAAATATTGCACCGATGTGGCAGAGACTAGTGCTTGGGGTGGTGCGGTAGAGGTAAATATATGTAACAAATAGTGTGAACCACAGAGCGATTGTGCACAATGTTATCACAGTACACTTATTTTTTTTCTGTACATTATTAAATTTGCAAAAAAATTTATTAATAATAATGTTAATTAAGATGTGTAATTTCTATAATTTCTTTTTTATAATACAGCTTCAGGTACTATCATGTATATTGAAATGCCCAATTGAAGTCATACAAGCTACAGGAGCTCCTTACATCATCGGAGATCAGTATACCAATGGTAAAAGAGTAACACTGACCTATCACCGTCATATGTATGAACTTGGTGCCCATTATAATTCTGTCACGAATTACGTTCAGGATGAGGAGAGCTGATAAAGGTTTCGATTAGATTCGATTTTACATGATTTTTAAAATTGTCAAGTCTTATTGAATGCAAATTAATCGCGTATTTCGATTTATGAGGGTGTTTTTACCAGTCAGTAGCTTAATTTATTCTGTATGGAAAATGTATATCTATAAGTTTCCAGACAGTATAAAATATTTTTATTGATATATACATGAGAACTACAAGGACAAAAAAGCTGCCAGCAGAATATTCTATCTTCCAATGAGACTTGTATTTCTAAACTTTACAATTATTGTGATGATTAAGTCTCTTGATTCATAACGAGTAAGCCTTTAGTTTTTTGTTCTGAATCATATATTTAAAAAGCGTTTCCCTCGTTGCCGTAACAGCTAGAATTTGACCAATTAAGTTGAAAGATCACAACTTCAGGCAGCAGCAGAAATTACTTTTAGTTCAAATCATACAATTTTCTATTTAAGCCAAAAGATAAAGCTTATTACACCCACTGTGAATTAGGACTAACCGTTAATGTTTATGAAGGGAATCCTTTGATCCACGGCCATTAGTCAAGCGCGAAATACATATCAATAACTACCGGTGAAACGTATTTCCTTGGTCGTATTTTAGGCCGATTCGCTAGAACTTCGATTCTCGCGTTTACAACTGAACGTGACCGTCCAGTTCTGAGTTCTATCTAATTTAAATAGCGAATTCTCCACAGAGATCTCATAGGATATATTTCCATCGTGCATTGAATATATGACCCCGTCATTCTAAGACTTTTGGCCACGGACTTTTGGTTTGTTTTATCAAAGCTCAAGATTAACAACGTTAACTGTGAATAAGAGTATGAATTTCAAGGCCGTTCGATATTGACTAGTAACTGCCCGGAACTTCACACAACGCTCATGTACGGCATCTCCCTATTAGATGAACGAATTGCGGACCGTCACGTTTAGCGCTGAATGTGGGAACACGAATTTTGCCATTGATTGGATACGTTCAATTAAATATATGACTCGAATACAAGTCGTTATAGCTGAAATACCTTTATAAGTTTAGACGTAAGCTGCTTTGGGGCTCCTGTGTTATAGTTGATAAATTTTGTATAGGATTATATTTATTTTCCAAGTGGATATATATCAGACAATATAAAAGATGCTGCCAGCAAATATGCAAGTATTTTCTAAGATTTCACGTTTTTCGGCTCGCTTAAAGAGTCAAGGTGCGAGGGTGTGTGTATATGTGTGTGTGCGTGTATGTTGCTCTTCTATCGCGCATACTGTTCGTGTTCACTGTAGTAGATGTCATGTCTTTTTGAAGTGTCAAGTGTCTGTCGAATCTCTTCGAGCGTATAGAGAATCTTCAGTGTACGTAGTATTAGAATGTTCCCTCTACGAAGTATCATGCTTTTTCTCTTTCATGGCTATTAGTTTTCCAGTTCTCTACGAATCTCCGTAGCGATTCAAATTTTCGACGTGAAATATTTTATCTAACCTTTTTAAACGACGTCTAAAACTATTAAATTTATCAATAATATTCTCTAATGTTTAGCGGATAATGTCAAACGTGATAACTTTACGAAATGGCCAATCGTGGCAATAATAAACTTGAAGTATCATGATTTTTAAATATCAGTCTGAATATACATAATCTCAAAGTAATCTCGGTTTTTACTCGTATGGTATAACGATATAAAAATGAGAGAGATAAAAGTGGTTCATAATTCTAACGTTAAGAGATATGGGACGTTCTAATCAGTATATATATATATATACACAATGATACTTATCACGTGTTCTTGCGATTTTGTAAATAATCGATTGTGCAATCGATGTGTCGTAGTCTTCGAATATGAAATAAATTACGATACGTAAAAAGTGCTATAATCGAATTTAACAAATTTATTTCTGTTGAAAACTGAAAATTACCTACTGAAAGAGGTTTTTACATCCCGATAATTTCATAATATTGAATAAATAACTTTAATTCTTTTCTCTTAATTTTTTCCTCATTTTCTCCGCCTTATTTTTCGCCATTGTCGTTTGACGACGCTTTGTCGTCTGCGACGACATCCTTGTTTTTATTTGGATTTTCGTCGGGTTTCATTTGAGGGAAGAGCAGCACCTCCTACAAAGATTAATTAAATATTGTTCTTCGGTTGTTCTAGTTCGATAAATCTAACGAGACCTTTTGAAATTTCCCTTTGAATCATTACAATTAAATAAAGAGACGGGACAACTTCAATTGTCGATTTTCTCGTGTGGCGACATTTTAGAAGGTATAACATGCGTATTTATAGTTTATAAATATCTACCTTAATATTGTTTGAGTCGGTGAGGAACATTGTTAGGCGATCAATACCCATACCCCAGCCAGCTGTCGGCGGTAAACCATATTCCAAAGCGGTGCAGAAGGTCTCATCGACCATTTGTGCCTCCTCGTCGCCGGCTGCCTTATCTTTCGCCTGTTGCTCAAACCTGCGTGTGTATTTCAAGTGTTTAATTTATTCGATTGTAAAACGGAACGATCCATTTGGAATCAAAGCGCCATGAACATTGCTCATACGACTGCAAACATTACGTTACCTTTCTCTTTGAACGATCGGATCATTTAATTCAGTATATGCGTTGCAAATTTCCTTCTTCATAACGAATAGTTCGAATCGTTCCGTGAGGCCTTCTTCAGAACGATGCCACTTAGCCAACGGCGACATCACTTGCGGGTGGTCTATGATATACGTGGGGTTGATGCATTTCTCCTCGATAAATTCTCCGACGAGCTGTAACAAGTATCACTGATGTCGTATACACGCCATGTGCGGATACATTTGCGAACATATACTGGAAATTAATGTTCTGCTTCTTTATTATTTCTTGTAAATTATTTTCTGTGAATCATAAAGCATCATTGGTTAAAATTATCAAACCAAGGTTGGCGTGAAAGAGTATGTCATTTCGAGTGCAAATCTTACTTTGTCTAACAATCTTGCGGATGTCCTGGGAGAAGCGCATTCGATGTCGTACTTCACGCAGAGATCGCTCAGGATTTTATTTGTCTCTGGCGTGTTGAGTTGATCAACCTTAGGTAGTTCAGTCTGCAGGGCTTCTTCCAACGTCTTCATCATCGAAATGCGCTTGAACGGAGGAGTGAAGTCGATCTCCATTCCTTCACCCTCTAGTCCATCGGGATGGTAGACGATCTTGTAAGTGCCATGTATCGCCTTCACCATGCTGGATACCATGTCCTCTGTGAGGCTCATCAGATCATTGTAGTCTGCATACGCCATGTAGAACTCGCAAGTGGTGAACTCGGGATTATGCGTCATATCGATGCCCTCGTTTCTGAACTGCCTGCCGATCTCGTACACTCTGTCGATCCCTCCGACTACCAACATCTATCAAATAAATGTTTACGCACACAGTGTTTCATATATATTTTATTTGTTTATGTTAGAGATAGATTTATTTTAGGTTTCAGGAAAAAAGTGACCCGTTACCTTGTGATATAACTCTGGGGCGATCCTCATGAAAAGTTCCATGTTGAGTTCGTTGTGATAGGTGACGAAGGGTTTGGCAGTTGCACCTCCGGCAATCATGTTCATCATGGGTGTCTCGACTTCCAGGAAGCCCAATTTGTCCAGATAACTGCGTATGTAAGCGATTATCTTGGCGCGTATGTGGAAGATTTGCCGCACTCTATTGTTTATGATCAGATCTAGGTACCGTTGTCGATATCTCGTTTCCTGATTATATAAAGAACTAATATAACTATGTATTATTCAAGTTATATACTTAATATATTAAATAAATAGTATTGCATATGCTGTATCCATTTCTAAAGTTATCATATAACTATCTTAATATCTGTTCTGTATATCTAAATACAAACTATATGTTGTGTAATTGCATTTTCGTGCGTAATGAAATCTTACTTTGTCCTTCAGACCGAAATGGAGATGTGGCAACATGTGTAAACATGGACTTAAAAGCGTAATAGAGTGGGGCATGATTGAGAATTCGCCTTTCTTGCTTTTTCCGGGATTGCCGACAACACCTATGATATCACCTCTCCTGATCTTTGAGGTGTCCGTTGCGAACTTCTCTTCATCCCTATAAATTCTCGCATTGGCCATTACTTGCACCTTAACACCCTCTCCTCGAAGGTCAAAGAAAATCAACTTGGCGCTAGCTCCTCGAATGGAGTGGACTCGCCCAGCAATGCTATGTACTTCATCCACGAGTGTTTCTCCATCCTTCACAACATTGCTAAACTTCTCAATGAATGCCTCTAGGGAAGTTGAAACATGGAATTTATGTGGATAAGGATGATCATTGCTAGCTTTAAGTTGACTAACTGTCAAGGTTCGAAGTTTAAAATATTCCTGAAAAAAAGAGTACAATTATAATAGACCTAAAGTTGGGTCAGTAGAATTTTGTAAGAATTTTGAATGGTATAATATGAAAAATTGCATATCATTTAAAATAAACTATGATAAACATAAATTTCAAACTTTGAATATCTTTCTAATATATATTAATTCAAAGTTTCTACTAGAAGGACTTTTTCTTTCTTTTTGTATCATGTTAAAACTTACGTTTGCGTTAAACTCTTCCTCGACATCATTCTTCTTCTCAACATTCTTAGCTTGTTCCTTTGCTTCAGTTGCCTTCTCAGCTTCTTTCTCAGCCTTCTCTTTGGCCTTTTGCTCTGCTTTGAGGCGTCTCTTCAGCTCACTGTAACCGAAAAAACGTTCCCTCAAGAATCTTAGACGTCAACTTAGAAATCAAGTATGGAGTGAGTCGTTACGCACGTCGTGGAGCGGCGACGTGGAGACATCTGACTCAATTTTGCCTCGTGGTTTGCCAACCATGTTCGCGCAAACGGCCGCGCAAAAGCAGCGTGGGCTTTGACCAAATTAGCAAGCATAATCGCGGTAAGATAATAGGCTTACTGACACGACGCGCTCATTTGAATCTCAATTGCTTTGCGAAATATCGGTTACCTGCAGAAAAAATACGGTTCGCGTGTTCGTGAGCAGCACGTGGTGCGGAGAGCTGATGTCACATCGTCGTCAGATTACGAGAACGTGGTGAAGCCACGCGCTACGAACCGTCTTCGAACCGTCATGATCACCGCTAATTTTCCATCACAACTGCGGTATCTGTGCTAAACGCTTTACTTACTTTTTCGACAGCTTCTCATCCGTAGTGTCTGCCATGTTGGTAAAGCTCTGTGAAAGATGATGAGAGGAGCCGGCATTAGCAGGTTGACCAACCTGTAAATACTTTGCTATCTTAGGTTATGTAAACTCTCTCTAGAAGCGAATACGCAAGGAATAAGGAGTGCTTGCAATTATGATTTTGGATATAGACGGAAAGGGAGAGAGCAAAAGAGAGAGAGAGAGAGAGAGAGAGAGATACATATATAGAGAGAAAGAGAAAGAAAGATATATATTCGAGAAAACTAGTGTATATTTTTTTTATCTAATATAAGTATATTCTATTATTATATTCTATAATTTACTCTTACTCTGTTCTCCTTTTTCTCATACCCGTAAGAACAATTCAAAAGAATTCTATTACCTCAACTTGTATCAACAATAAGGAGGTGATTTATATTATTTAAAGTTATTGAAAGCTTTTTTTTATAGTATGAGGAATGTAAGGAAAAACTAGAGTTAAAAAATATTTATATATTTGCATTTATAAAGAAGATTAAATAAATGTATTTATATAAAGTTAAATAAAATTGCCTTTAAATGGGAAAGCTTGAAATTTGAAGTAAAAGCTTAAATTAGAATTTAGAGTCAAGACATCATAAAATAAATGGTCGCAATTAAAATGTTCAGCCGACCAACAAATATCAGACAGCTACAGTAATCTTTAACGTAATGACCTCTTCCGGGTATCTCCGCCACTTCTTGTATGCTAACCTGAAAAAAACAAATTCGACGAAATAAAATTTCGCAGCCTTACGTTGGTTAAGTTACGGCTAGAAAGCCGCGAGTTGTTCGCGCAAATTACAGCCGTTGTTGCTCGCTCATGCGAAAATATGATAAACACGGATGAGTAATTCGCGAGCGAACGACTTATTTCGAAATTGCTCGCTAGCTTCGAAAGGAAATCGGCGCGGTAAATTCGGTCACTCTCCGAAACGGAAATTGGCAGCAGTTCTCGCATTCTCGAACCGTCGAGGAATTCGAATCTCCATGCAGACTGTAAGTGCTCACACAATACAATTGCCGCTCCTTTGATCATATCCTTTGTATATTTCTGCGGTTTCCGTTTAAAAGTTCCGAGATCATCAATCACCGGCGGAGCATCGACACACGTCGAGGCGATCGACGGCCATCGAAATACGTGATCGAAGCGCGAGCGCGATAGTCGTCGTCGGACATATTGATGTGCGCGCGTTTGGATTTAATAATAAATAGTTCACTCACGAGTGCGATGAAATTTTTCAGCCGAGGCCGCCAGCTGAATCGCCCGCCTTTATCGGCGGACGCGTCGTCATGGCGACGTCGATTTGTTATTTGTTCGCGTCGGATTCCCCGATCCCGGACAGAGTTGTGGCGAGAGCTGTCTTTCGCGGATCGCGATGGACGGTTGTTTCGGGCCACGGGATTTAGAGGCGCTTCGAAATTTGATCTGTCCGCCGGAGGATGATCCCGACGTCGAGGACGATTTACCGCAGGCGGGCGCGAGGAACTTGGGTGAGCGTCCGGCCGTTCCACAACTGATTTATTAGGTCTGGTCCACAATAGATAAGGTGGCGAGCCTTTAGCCGGTTATTCCAAGTATTACAATTTCTGGCAAAGACATTTTCCACGCTGCACAGCCGGAATTTAGCTCGCTTCGAGTTTCAGGATTATGACTTCGGGCAGTAGCGGGAAACGCTTTTAGCTGAAAATTAAGTCGCAGTCTTAGGCTTAGAGCGAAAAGCTAAAAAGCTCACTGCATCTATTGTGGATCGAGGAGTTGTGGAAGTACGACGATGGAATTTTATTTTCAGCGGCACGCTCTCCGCGCTCTCCGCAGCTCCCGCGGCGGCCAATTTTCCGTCGTAATTCTGCGCACCGAAATTTTCGCCTCGTCCGAAATTTTCGTCGCGTTTAATTCGACGCGTTACTCGGGGATATTATTTGATCGGCCGAGGAATGGCGGCGACGGAAGTGGCCACGTTGGTGATAGCGGCGACTGGGCCGGTTCGATTAATTGGCATGCAAATGATCCCGCTGGACAAAAGTACAGTCGACGACGCGGAATTACACGCGGTGTATTTGGTTTACGCGTTGTCGTTTAATTCCGACAAAACACCGTTAAAATTACGGCGAGTGTGCCGCGCCCGTCCGATGAGAATTATCAAACGCAGCGCGACGCGGCGCGGCGCAGCCGGCGAATTAATCGCCGCCGCGAGTTTTACGCAAATTTTACATTCGTCGCTCATAAACTCGTTGCATTATGCAGCGTGCGCGTGTAATACCTCAGTGGCGAGGCGCGTTGCAACCCATTGTAAATTGTACAACTGTCATAATTCCAATAAGACGTTGCTGCTACGCCGCGTGCGCGATAGCTGTAAATCACCGTATAATCGTGCATTTGTAAAACGAATTAGAGGTTGAATCGTGTAATGCCGCTTTCAAACAGCCCCACGCCCGCGTCGTCGCGCATCTCCGAGATACACAGCCGTTCATCACACCTCGGACGGGGTGATAATCCATATAATTAGCGACGGAATTGTTAATGCACGCGACGAGATCTTATCGGCAATTTCATACGTTGTGTGATTGCGGAAGACCTTTGAAGGTTTATTAATATATATATATATATATGTCTACGCAGAGAGAAATACATACTGCGTTGAAGGATAAATGTTACTTGCTTCAAACATTTCATTAGTTTATGCATGCGCAAATCTATCTATCGAGTTCTTCATGTAAGCATCATATTTGCTCAAGATGTACTATAAATCCTAATAAATCTGCTACTTCAATCAAGAGTATGAAAATAAAGCAGAAATTCGGCTTGCCTTCTGCACATAGAGTTTTATAACATTCTTGAAGAGAAAAGAGATTCTTCTTTTGGGTATATATTATATAAAAGTATTAGTTGGGAGTATCGTTCTATAAAGGAACGTTTTGCTCGAAAAAGCATAAAAAGATATTAAAATGGGATGTCGTTAAATCCAATGATACAACTGTATCGCGGATATAATCCTGATTCTTCAAGCGTCTTCGTTGGTATAATCGCAATTTTCGTTTCAGGACCAGCCAGTATCGGCGCACCCTCGACCGAGGTTTCTCAGGTTCATCCGGGACCTCATGCGCCGCTCCGAGGTGCGGATGACGATATCTGGCACCCCTCGGAGGCGATCGACACCCAGAGCTCGCAGGATTACGATCTCCGTACTGTACCAGAGTACGAGATGAAGTTCAAGCAAGCGGTGACTGCGGAAGATATTTACCTGGGGGTATGCTAGGGGCGGGTGTCTTTCCTCTTTCCCCTTTATCTCCAAAAGACGAGACAAAGAAGTCCCGGAGAGAAAGTTATAAACAGCGACCGTAGCCGCTCGGTAATCTGCATGTGTCACGATTCCTATTCTCAGTGTAGACTCGAAGTTAACTCTTAATATACAAAGGATCTTTAAGCGGCGTTGTTTACCAAGCCGAGGTCCTCGCAGGACCCTGTCGTTTTTTGGAAGTTTTTTGGGAGTTATTCAACGGGAGTTAAGTTGACTCAAATTATGTTTTTCGGGTTGCTCAACGTGTACTTTAACGGACTAAAATTTTCACAGTATATTCATTAATGTTCAAAGTATAAAATAAATTTTATTGAATCACAGGAACCGACCCAATTTGTAATTATAGATAAAAATGCAGTCATCCGTTTGCGAGCCCTGTTTGCTGCCGACATCATTCCGGGTCTCTCACTACTTTAAAACTACTTTAAAAACAAAAAATGAGAGTTTTAAAATATACGATTGTCATTATAGCCCGTACCAAAATGAAGGCAGTGAAGCCAAGTTTGGAAAAATAATGACCGTATAGAAATAAGTATCGAAAATGGAACTTTTCTTGTAATTATGTTTAAAAAAATGAATAAAATAAAATATAACTGTGTTCGAGGTAGGGACGAAAACCACACGTCTACTATATTGTGTAAAAATTTTTAATTATTCGGTGCGGTAGTTTTTGCGCAATCGTGTCGGCAAAAAAAAATGCTGTTTCCAGATAAACGCGTTCCAGATAAAGTTTTGTGTGTACTTTCCATATAGATAGTAACAAATTTATTTTATATTTTGAACACTAATAAATATACTGTGAAAATTTCAAGTCCATTGAATTCTACCGTCAAAAACCTACCTTCTGTTAACAAATTTTTTAAAAATAATCTTGAAAACGGCCTGCTCCGCATATAACTCCCCCCCTTAAGAGTTAAACGTGGATGTCTGATTTTGACATTTCTACTACGGAATTGCATTTTTTTGATCGAGTCGTTGAATTTAGAACTAAACGTGCAATGAGAATACGGGTCCTTGTCTTGTAATAATAATAGTGACGATGATAATAATAATATAATTAATAATAAGGATTATGTGCTAAATTAATAGACGGTGTAACGCGGAAAAGGGACTTCTTATTCTCTTTTTCTTGAGCCGGCTGCGCCCGACAAGAGAGACGATTCTTTCCTCGGTCGACACGTTACGTGTAAATCGCTCGGCGGGCGGCCCTGAAAGCGAACGAATTGTTATTTAGATGGGCTTTAAAACGCCGGGCACGGCGTCCTGCGAGTGGCTGTCGGTGCTGGTGAAATTGCCGCGGGAAACGCGGGAAAAAGTGGAGCTCTCCGTGGAATCTGAGGCGATCGACGTGCGCAGCTCAAGGTGAGGCGACCACCATGACGGATTTATCGGAGTAATCTGTAAGAAAGTGGGAGAAGGAGAAAGAAAAGGGGTGAGCGAGCGTGAGTCAGTGAAAACAGTGAGACAGAATGAGAGGGAGTGAGAGAAAGAGAAAGAGAAAGAGAAAGAGGAAGAGCCAGAGTCGAGTCGAGTCCGCGAGTCGGAATCGCGTTGATTCCGACGTCTGTAGTTTCTTTGACAATTTTACGAGGCCGTAAATCTGCCCGGCGCGTAAAGCCACTCGTGATTCTTCAGATATCGACTGCACCTACCGACGCCTCATCCGGTGGATCCCAACGCGTCCTCCGCCAAGTGGCACAGCGACACCTCTACCTTGGAGATCAACCTGCGACTCGTGCGCGAGTTGGATAACGTAAACTTCTGACTCACTAGCAAGGCCGGTCATCATCGACCGTCGCACCGTCGCTGTATATCACACGTCGAAGTAAGTTCAGGTGGTTCCTGTCTACGCTCGTGTCGGGCGTAGCGAAGTAAGACGCAGCGCGTGATTTTCGCGCGCGATTAAATTTCGCCGACGGATCCGTCGACGTGCTCGAAGTCAATTTCTTCGTCGGAGGCACGTCGTCACGCCATGGCGTTTCGTCGCTCCGCGATTTATCGCATCAAACGTACTCCCGATTAATCCGGCGAAATGAAAAAGGAAGGACTCTAGGATCGAGCTAGAGACAGGCATTTGCTCTCGTGGAAAACATGCTCGACGGTGTAATACACGAATCTACATTGACGGGAAATCGAGTAAAGAGAAGCAGGTCTCGGGTTTACGCAAATTTCACTGCCGGCTGAAGTTGAATAAAAATCGAGTCGTATCGGCAATTTCACGCAGGGATCTCAGATAGAAAATTCAGTCGACCGTGAAAAGTCACCGAAGCTGAAACGCAGCTGCACGCATGCTGCAAATGTTCTTGCAACCGCCGAAAGCTCTAACGGCGTACATATAAATAGTTCCAGTTCTGGTGGAGTGTTAAGTAAATTAACCGATCGATGCAACCATATGTTGGGCCAGCTTTACAAATCGCCTCGATGAATCGCTCGACTAAATATTGAGCATGCTTTGCATTAAACAGGAGGCATTAAAAAATCGGCGAAACTCTTCTGGAAAGAGAATCGGGGCAATTAGTTTTAGAACAGCGAATCATGACATCAAAATGACGTCAAAATGACGAGGAAAACTCTTTTTTTCACCCAAAAAAGCATTCTATTCGTAAAGTGACTTTTCCCACAGTCTCATATTCTAAGCGAAGCCTTTTACAGAAAAAGGATTCCTCTTTCGATCAAGCGATTAAAGTGAACCATTCATCTAAAATTTATTAGATATTATTCTAACTTTTTTCCTCTTATTTCAAAAGGATTTTCTTTTATATTCAATTAAGTTTTCTCTTATGTGAAGAGAAATGTGTTGATTTGAATGTCGGTTTCTTTTGTTCAGTCATGCTCTACCTCCAAACGAAACGAACGAAAAAATAATAACTATATGCTCATGGATCAAAATATTTGGAACGCTTTTTAAAAAAGGTGTGTATTGCTGTAACATATAATGAAGATAATTTATTCATATTTAGTCAACTACAGTTTATAATCTATTGCAAGAAGTTGAATAATATATTCTTTCCTTTAACTATGTTTCATATAATCGGTTATAATGAACATCTTTGTAGTGAAGTTCAGAATAGTCAGTAGAATACAGTCAGTATAGTCAGTCAGTATAATCCCTCTAACTTTAAGAATAACGTGTTTATAATATTTTCCTCTTAATCTTAGAGAAATCCTCTTGGGGTCATATATAAGAATAAAATCCTCTAAAATTTAGATGATTCCGCTTGTTTTAAAATTACTTTTTTTTTTTGGATGTTTCTTCATGATTCGGTTATTTTCTCGTCATTTTGATGTCATTTTGGTGTCATCGTAATTTTCTGTCCTACCTGAGGCGCAACCCGAGTTGATCGTTTAATTCGATTCGAGTTCTTTCGATCGATTCTTCTCTACAGCGCCCTTTCACGCGGATGTTACAAAGATGCGCAGCCGAGTGATCCTTCGCGTATACATGGACGCATTTTATAATGTCTCATATAAACGCAGAGACGTTTATCGCGTTCCGTTATATCCTGATGATGAATTTTTCCGTCGAGTCGCACTCGAGCCACGTCTGCGCGCGCGTGCAGCGCGGCGTAATTGACGACAAAATCGTATTTGCATTTTGTGTAATGTCACGTCCTTGATTACGCCGCGCTCGCGAGCTCGTTACGCGATGCTAATTTACCCGCGACGTGCAAATAGCAAATTGCGCCCGTAATCGCCGCGCGGATCGTCGGTCCTGCGCCGCGCCGCGCCGCGCTGCGCCGCCGTCACGTCGGGGATCGCGAACGTTCCTCGCGCAAGAAACAACGTTAACGTTCGTCGTTCTGAAGAACAATCGGACACGTGGACAATCGGACACGTGGACAATCGGCACGTGGCTAATGGCTGCTTCGTCAGATGAACTGAAACGATCGCGTGAGAACGACGCCGCGGATGACTCGGCGATTGTGTCCTGCATCCCGAGATACTCTCTTCGAAGGCGAATCGCAGAGCGAATGCAACATGCGAGAGAGAGAGAGAGAGAGAGAGGGGGAGGAGATAGGGAGAGAAAAAATACACAAAGAGGATCTTATAGCTCTATTACTGTAGGAGATATCATAGAATCTAATTACTATATGAATTTTTTGTAATTATTGCATTCTCTAAATTTCCTCTAGGGAAATTTCACTGGAGTGACCATAGCGTGGTCATTCGAATTTGAATGATTATCCAATGATATCGAGTGAATTCTTTACTCTGAATCGTCGAGTGAATATTTTCGCTCGAGACTGAAGAGCGAATCAGAGATGTACTCTGTGTCCGTCACAGCCCACATAGCCATACACAAAAAATTGCAGCAACATTGCTGCAATATTGCAACAATATTGCAATGTTGCAGCAACGTTGTTGCAACTTTTGTATTGTATGGGAGGGCATATTCAGTCTAATCGATTGCCATACAGTACAGACAGTTGCAGCAATATTGCGGCAACATTGCAACATTGTATATATATATCAAATATTGTAACGTCGTAGCAATGTTGCTGCAACTGTCTGTGTTGTTAATGATTTGAAACATTCGCTTGTATGGGATGAGAATCAGCTTTAAGCTTGAACTCGCGATTTTGAGCGAAAATGCTGTCGCTTTTCACTCGTCGTTCTGAGTGATCTCCTACACTCCGGGAGATATTTAGAGAATAAGCAATTTCGTAATTGCCATAGAATTTTAGCATTTTACTCTCTCTAGAATGCTATGGAATTATTATAAAATTTCATATCTGAGGGACACACGTGTCGACACATTCGGCCTTAATTTATTATCTTTTTGTCTCGCATGCTATTTATATTTTAGGAACTGAGATCTAGAGATGTTGGAAAATTTATTACGTTCCTCAGCGCGATAAACTCTACCGACATTTTATATCTTCATTACTGAAAAGAATCTGATAAAGTTCAAGATAATTTCTATGAAAAAGAGCCGCATAATATTCTCTTCGTGTACGCTCTCGCGACCTCTCTCTCGTTCCAACAGGAGCAAGAGCAAGATCCCCGGGTATCATGAAGCAGGGTTTCATCAGATTCTTCCGTCTCGTTCATAAGACACCGCCGAAGTTCAGCCGCCGTTCCCGTCCCGTCGCGAGAGATACGCCCGAGACCGCGCCTTTTCGCCCCGCTATTTGCTAAGTACGACGACACGATATTACAATTATATGCACCGCCGACTCTAAATATCAGCTATTAGAATTAATTACAATAATTAATGATTACAGCTTAATGGTGGCAATAATTAATGTATGCGCTGCGCAGCAACTGCGAATTCTGCTTGTGCCGTAATAATTGCAATTAATACGCCGACGACTAGCCACAGACGCGAATTGTCGTCACTCTCTGTCACGGCGGGCCACGTCGTCGTCGGGCGACGTTTACAAGCGCACGCTTTAGCGTCGCTTCGTTGTAACGAAGCGCGAGCGACGGTCTCGCAGTTAAAGCCCAGAGAGTTACTTAAACGAAAGAGCGTGCTTCCGCGCGCTACGCGCGTTTGTAACGCGTCGCAAACAAATGTCCCGCCTCCCGAGGACACGCAGCCGGGAAAGCATTCGTTCCGTCCTTTATCCTCGTGCATCTCGCATCTCGATGCAAATGCATCTTACAGCTTCGAGATGCAGCTCATGCGGATCTCTTCTGTGCGATGAAATCGGCGACGGACGGAGCGTCCGGGGATTCGCGCGCAAGGATCGGCACGCGTTTCATTCTCCCGTAATCAGCCGGAAACTTAATTAGCCGTTGATCATAGTTCGTTAGCTCCCTCTTGCCCGCCGCCTCAATTTCCGCCGGCCGGGAAGTTTTTAATCCCGAAACTGCCAAGCTAATTTTAGCCGTTATTATCGAATAATATTCCATTTCGTCTTCTTTGTTCTCTGCTCCCCCCCCCCCGCCTCTCGACCCTTCCGCCGCTCCGCTCACCTCTCGCGAACAGGAGATGGCGTGCCCATCCTGCAAAAGGTCGTTCCGACGCGTAAAAAAGTTACGGCGTCGTCAAAAATTACATTGCGAGACTACGCGCGCGGTGGGACTCTCTTTCTCTCTCTTCTTTGTGAGAGAGACCCTGAAAGATCACCCTGTAATCCGAGGAGATAAACTACCGTCGACCTTTACGTTTCGCAAAACCAAGTCGGTTCGTACGAATCGCGTCTAATGATGCCCAAATATACGTCTGGCAACATCGTTCAATGCAATATTACATAATAACGTGCAATATAATATGATGTGGTACAATGTAACGATAGTTTAACGCGCCATGACGTTCATCAGTCTGACTGGCACTGCAATATCACTTCTCACGTCTTATAAAGTTATGTACGAGTATAATTATCGGCATCTGAATGATTGATTATGCGGCCGATAGAGAGAGAGAGAGAGAGACAGAGAGAGAGAGAGAGAGAGAGAGAGAGAGACGATGCGGAATGAAATAAAAGTTACACGCGTCTTGAATGAACGATTACGTCTCTCTCTCTACTATACCTTAGTAATCCCATCATCAATTAAGATTTTGTGCAATGGATGGGGATTAACCCTTTGTTGCACGTTTTTTTCTAATGAATATAATTTTGTTAAACTTGTTACTTGCGAGTTTTTAGGATCGCTGAATACAAATCCGGTGTGAAAAATACGAAATTCGAAATGACGGATTCAATATGACGGATGAAATTTTCGAAATCAGCCGAATTCGCTTGAAGTTTGTTATTTAAGGGTTTCTAAGGTTGTTAATTACAAATTCGTTATCCAAAATTCAAGATCGAGAGATTTACGATATATCTTCGATATAGAAAAACCCAATCGATAGCCATTTTTAAATTAAATTGTTTCATT